CTTTTTTGTTCAAAATATTTATGCTTTCACTGAAAACTGGCGCACTTTAGGAGACTGGCTACGCGCAAGAATAATTCCGATCCATAAACGTAGTAACAGATTTCTAGTGGAGACGTATCAACCCATATTGCTGACGACCTACTGTTGTAAATTAATGGAGCACATTCTCAACAAAGCCATTGTAAATTACTTAGAATCTAACAATATGCTGTACCCGAAGCAACACGGATGCCGTAGGGGTCCCTCCACGGTAACGCAACTTGCAGAAATAGCGCATGACTTTGCTGGCATAATTGACTCCAAACTTCAAGCTGATGCAATATTCATAGACTTTGCGAAAGCCTTCGATTGTGTACCTCATTCCAAATTAATAGCCAAGCTTAAATCTCTTGGGATTAATAGCAAAGTAATTGCCTTGATTTCGGCCTACTTAATTAATCTCTCCCAGTATGTAACTTTAAACAACGTAGATTCTGACTGCCTCAGTGTTTTTTCCGGTGTACCTTAAGGGTCTATTTTGGAGCCAACATTATTTCTTGTTTACTTTAATGACATCTCTTCTTGTGTGGAACCAGGTGTAACATTGCGACTTTTTGCAGATGACTGCGTCATTTACACTACAATATGTGGTATTGATGACCAATTAAAACTCCATTCTTCTTTACAAAACATTTCCCAATGGTGTGAGATGTGGGGAATGGAAATAAATGTGTCTAAAACCGTGTTCATAAGTCTGACCAAGAAAAAAACGACCTTTGTCGTTTGGGTACAATCTTAATAGTTCCAATATTAGCAAAATTGACAAAGTAAAATATCTGGGCGTCACATTCTCGCAAGATTTAAAATGGGAACAGCACATTACCAATACATGTGCCAAGGCATTTAAACAACTCGGATTTCTGCGTAGAAAATTGAGCAAAGCACCTTCAGCAGTTAAACTAACCACCTTCGAAATAAATGTGTCTAAAACCGTGTTCATAAGTCTGACCAAGAAAAAAACGACCTTTGTCGTTTGGGTACAATCTTAATAGTTCCAATATTAGCAAAATTGACAAAGTAAAATATCTGGGCGTCACATTCTCGCAAGATTTAAAATGGGAACAGCACATTACCAATACATGTGCCAAGGCATTTAAACAACTCGTATTTCTGCGTAGAAAATTGAGCAAAGCACCTTCAGCAGTTAAACTAACCACCTTCGAAACCCTGGTCAGGCCCATTATAGAATACGGAAGTATAGTGTGGGACCCTCATCAAAACTATCTTCGCGAAAAACTTGAAAAGTTACAGAACAGGGCCCTGAGGTTTATATACTCAAAATACTCCTGGCGCGACAGTGCAACGGACATGCGTCATCAAGCGCATCTAGCAACTCTGTCTAGCCGGCGTCATGTTGCTTCCATGAAGTTTTTTTATCTCCTTTTTCACGGTCACCTTGAAATCTGTAAAGACGACTGTATTCATCCGCCTGGCCGCCGTTCTAGTAGGACGAACCATGATAAATGTATACGTCCCTTCAGTGCCACAGCAATGTGTTTAAATATTCCTTTTTCCCTCACGCTGTCACCGCTTGGAACGCGCTACCAGGTGAAGCTGTTAATATTACAAATATTGATGAATTTTCTTCATTTGTGGAGCAGTTAACAGAGCCTGTATAGTTACAGTTTGCTGTTCCTATTGCGATAACGAAAAACGTGTTTTGCAGTGGTGCATTATAATCTTTGTACATATATATTGTTTTTCATGCGTAGTACATGGTTTTTATTATTTTTTTTCTTTTTTTCTCGTCTTCTCATGTATGGGAAGAGCATCAATGTGGTATTGTTGTACCCGCTATTGTAAGTGTTTCGCTGTTGTGCGTATCGTCCCTCAAAATATTATATTTCCTGAACTTTGCATCTAATTGGTTACCTGTGATGATGTATGCCCGCTTCCTGTATGGGTCTGCAGAAGACCTACAAAATTGTTAAATAAATAAATAAAAATAAATTTGAAAAAACGCCGCTCGCGCGGGGAGTCCGTGCTTGGTCGTGACTGTCGCCATGTTGTATGCTCGCTGTGTGCCGGTTAATAAGCGCCCAAACTCTGTATATTATTTTTGGGCATCACAACGAGTATTATTTAAAATAATCTGAAGAGAATGCAAAAGAAGGTACTCAGGCTATTGAAGATGTATTTTGGTGAACCAAAAGAGTTAGCAGCAAATCCTTTCTTCATTAAGCATTATTTGCCCGATCGAGTAAATTACATGACCAGAAACTTCTACTGCTTGTACATAAACAAAATCTGTAAAATGTGACACACGAAGCTTTTGGACGATTCCACTGCTTAAAAAACAGATGCCAATATCATGAACGCACACAAATTACGTAATGTCGACCCTTGCTTATCAGATGCCCGCCCTAACACTTCGTGCGTTTTCTCAAATCAACTTTGAAGTTCCACTCATTAAACTTAAAAAAAACAAGACTTTTTCTTGTAAATTATTCTATAGTCGTTACAACCAAAGTCCCTAGAACTTCGCAAAGTAGCCACGTATCCCCTTCCTCGACCTCTTCGTGGCTGGTGCGGTGTTCGTATTGGCCAGATGCCGTCACGTGGGACCGCTCGGAGCATGCGGTTATTTACAGTTGCTCTCGGCTACCATCTTTGTTCTCGAAGCGCAGGCGCGCTGTTGAACAGCACACCTGTTTTACGAATACACGCTTGTCCTTCCGTGCCCATTGTGCTGTGGAATATTTTTCACTCAAGAATGACGTCACTGTTGGTTTCCATCTGTGGCCGATGCGTCTTCTGATGCCAGAACCAGCCCCGCCGCGGTGGTCTAGTGGCTAAGGTACTCGTCTCCTGGCCTGTAGGTCGCAAATTGAATCCCGGCTGTGGCTGTAGGCCCGTGTGCTCAGATTTGGGTGCACGTTAAAGAACCCCAAGTGGTCGAAATTTCCGGAGCCCTCCACTACGGTGTCTCTCATAATCATAAGGTGGTTTTGGGACGTTAAAACCTACATATCAATCAATCTGATGCCAGAACCAGTCTAGTTGCGGCCAAAAGCTCTTCACGATACCGCCCGTTTAGTGCAACAATTTGCGACAAAAGACATGTTCGCAATTTCCTGATTGAAAAAACCAACTGCTCGCATTGCACAATCATTCACTGAACACCCCGTATATATAGCGTCTTGATCTTGACCTCCAAGGTTGTGCTGATGAGAAATTCTGCCAGTGCATTGTATAACAACAACAATTCGCACCGTGCGTGTTAGCTAAAAGGGAACTGCGCGTCTCTGTGTCCAGATGGTGTCTTGTCTCTCATTTATCATTAGCAGCGATTGGCATGTTCCAGTATAGGAAACAGTGATCCATGGCTGCGTGCTTTGAGCCTCCCCAGGTTTCGCTCCTGCGCAACCCCACGATGAGCGCCAGCATAAGCTCTCAATAAAGTAGAACGTCTCACGCTCAAGCGTACGATCTCATCGCTGCTTCGCAGCCACATATGGTTTCTTTTATGGGAAGATGGTGTAACTTTTTTGCGTGTTCGTATATTTCAGAGGTAAATTGCTTTCTCTGGCTCTGTTACATCTGGCCAATGTTCCGGCAGATGAAGTCGCACGATCTCTTGAAGAGATAACTCGTGCTCCCTTAAACGAACGTTCACACATCATTTTGTTTATCCCACGTACTCCCTACAACACGATAATGGAGTTAAATACACAGCTTTTTTTACGCGTGCGATGTACTTGTTCTTATAATTCGCAGCGAATCTCTCTTTGGCTTGTTTGTTCCTCAGCGCATTGTCAACCATCGGGCAAATACGACCTACCTTATGTTTGGCGGAAAAAAGAACGTCGACACCATACCTTGAGCCTACATTTTCAGCCCATGCGCCAATTTGTGTACATAAGGAAAAACTGCTCTTTTTCTTTTTCCATCAGAATTTTCTTGAGCTCCTCTGTGTTTCACGAGCTTAACGCTCCAAACCATCAACTCACACACAGACGAAATCACCTTGTCAGGATACCCAGCATCTACTAAGCGTTTTACCTGGATGAAAAGCAGTATTCGACACGTTCACACAGGATTTCCTGAGCTACGCATGTAAGATTGTCTTTGCAATCGCTCTCTTCACAATCTTAGAATGGCCAGACTTGTAGTTTAAGATAGGCTTCACTGATCTTGGGTCATATTTCCAACACAAATGATTTTTACCAAAGGTTAGCTTTAGGTCAAGAAACTGTAGCTAGTAATCCTTCCAGACTTTTTGAGTGGAGGTGAGGCCTATACCACGCCTTGCAAGAACGAATTAGATTTATTGTGTCACGGACGGTCCGGTATATTCACTGATGCACGAAACATACAAAGTGGTTTGTGTTCGTTTCTTGCTTACGCGTTAATGCTGGGGCTAGCACCGCCGAACAAGAGTGTGTTGTGAGCGTCTGCCTACTGATCATTCTCGAGAGGACGCTTCTGAATTCCGCTATGCGGCATGACAGTCTATGAACATTGCAAATACCAGCACTACCAAAAGCTTGTAAAAGGGAGTATATATCTGGTTGGCGAGTTTTGACCTATGCTAAATATTATGACGTCTTGTCAAGATAACGTCGGGATTAACACCTTTGGTGTTTCCCTCGTACTTCAAGAGCACGGTATCATGGCCTCTTAAGAATATTTTGAACAAAAATCTGTTTCAACGACCACCTGTGACAATTTGTCCAGAGTTGTGGCTTGAGATAATGTTTCCTTTCAATCTATAGATTGAAAGGAAACATTATGTTGAGGCACAACCAACAATTAAGCTCTTGTGGCTTCACTAAGTGAGGGCAACATGAAGTCAACAGTTGTGTCAGTTGCAACAGTTGTGTCAGTTGCAACAGTTGTTGCGGTATGATGTACCTGACCAAGACTATGCACTAATTGAGCGGCATGTGCATCACATAAAACGTGGTCCTAAAAGTTCTTTGCTGAATCGCACCTGCACCTTTTATCAATTCCTGCTGCAGGATGCTGTCTCTACAACACCAGCCGGCAGCTGTTCAAGAGGCTGCGCAGCTTCTGTAGGAAACCCGAGGTGGCACGAAGGACTGCCCCCAAGGTTGGTATGATGACACCCATTGACTGGACACCTCAGTATACGCTTGTTAGAGCCATAGCCAAAAGTAACAAATCGGTTTGGCTGAAGAAAGAAACTAATGGCGTGTATGAAAGATACATTTGTGTGCAGGTCCAATGATGACAGTGATTTTAAACATGCTTTCACATCAAAAAGTGTCACTGGTGCTGTTATCTTCACAAAAGAGAAAAGTACACTAACTCACTGATAATAGGATGCGTTGCTTCCTGCAGGTGCCAATGTGTCAGAGTAACATGAAATTTTATTATTATAACTTCATTATTATTTATGTGCTAATTACAAAGATGTACATATTTTTGTCAAATGGCTTGATGTCACAAAAAATTGATACTGTTTGATGCTATTGTATAAATTCAATTTTGTTTCTGCTATGTATAACCGCTTATGTATGTGTGTCAGGCTTTGTCAGGCTTTCTTTGCCTTTACGCCAATCCTCAATGCAACTATGTATACGGGTTGTCTGAAATAAATAAAATTCAAAATTCAAAAGGTTGGGGTTAAGTTGCAGCTATTTAGTGTACAAAAGGAGGAGAGAAACTGTGTCGCGACAAAGGCAGTTATGACTGCAATTATTTCATAGCATAGTAGCATTCCAGCAAAAAACGTTGCTGTAGCAATAAAATATACAAGCTATACATAAAATAGTAGGAATTTAACATATCAAATATTATACAAAATTGTAAAATAATGGTACAACAGTTTAATAAAGTTAAAAACATTGATCAAGAATACACTGAACAAAGCATACATTACTGAAAAAAGAAGAGAAAAAAACTAACTCTTCTGGTGAGCCTACGTGAAGTACGCAAGTTTTAGTTCTTTCTTTTTCCTTTGTTGTGATGGTCTTATAGTTTTCATGATAAGTGGAAGAGTGCTTGCCATATATAGTATGGATTCTGGGTAAACTTGTTGCTTCTGAAGTTATCCTTCATGTACAACTGGGAAGCTCTGCAACTGTGCACATGGCTTTTTGAAAAAGAAAAAAAAAGTCTGGAAAGCATTTTCATTCTTGACAGATTGAGTGACTGTACTGCAATACTTTTTTTGTTTCTTATAGTTTGTGACGGAAATGATGCAACGTGTCTTTATCTATCGGCTGTTGTGTTCAAGAACTCCTCAGCTAGTGTCAGTATTAGGGTTCATCTATAGAGCAGATCGTCGGTCAGAAAGCACGGTCATTGGTTGCCGTAAAAGAAGACAACAGGCGACTTCCTCCGCTTCAGATAGTGTACCACGTGGCAACTTGCTTGAACATCAGCAGCTATGAGTCTCGAGTAGCATAGCCAGAATGTCAGACGTGATGTCAGTCGCAAAGCAGGAGTGCTATTCCGCCAGATGGTCAATCCTGATTGGCCCCGAGAGCTCGGCTTATCAGTACTGCAATTACAAAATTGACAAAGTGTCCAGAGTAGGTTGTCGGCTTGAAGTGTCTTGTTGGATTCCTACGTGACACCTTCTGAATGACTTCACGTAAACAACTTCACTACGTGACTCTGAGGTTACGCAGGTCACCAAAACAGTGGCATTTTATTTCAAATATGTGGTGTAGCGACCGGCATTTCTAGGCACCAGAAATTCGAGAGGAAGATGTCGAGGCAGGATGAAGGTGAACTTAACAAGGGAAGTTAATAGCGACGCCAGGTAGTAGGCAGGCTGCCGGTACGAACAGAAATGCTCGAGCAGTCCAGCGTCCACAGCTCGTGCACACGCTCGCGCATCGCACTCAGAGATGGTCCCACTAGTCAGTGCCCTTCGAATTCCCCACTACAATACCCCGGCGACGAAGACGAGCCATCCTGGCGACTCAAGATGACGAGAGAACAGGAGGGTCTTTGTAGGACATTGAGGCGACTGACGTGGACCGCCTCACGACCAAGGCGGCGCTTGTCCGTGGACGGCTTGAGCGGTTGAATTACATAGGTGACAGAAGAAGGGTGCTGTATGACACGGTAAGGGCCAGTATACTTCGGTGCAAACTTGGGAGTCAGTCCAGAAGAGTGGAAAGGCAATCAGAGCCACACGAGAGAACCAACGGGGAACGTGTCCTGAACAAGATCACAGTCGTGTTGATCTTTTTGGAGAGCTTGATTATCGGCTGTGAAGGACCGTGAAAGCTGACGACACTCTTTGGCATGTTCGGCCATTCCAGAAAGTGGGCTGAACTTGGAGGCATCAGGATTGTATGGCAGAATTGTGTCAAGTGTGCTGCATGGGTCACGGCCATATTAAAAAAAAATGGAGAAAAGCCCGTTGTTGATTGAATCGCCGTATCGTAGGCATATGTCACGAAAGGAAGGACAACGTCCGAATTGGAGTAGTTGGAATCAATATACAAAGCGAGCATGTCTCCCAGGGTTCTATTTAAACGTTCCGTTAGGTCGTTCGTCTGAGGGTGGTAGGCTGTTGATATGCGGTGTACCGTACGGCATGACTGTAAGAGGTGCTGCTGAACTTCGGACAAAAATACGTGGCCCCTGTCACTCAGGAGCTCCCGTGGTGCACCATGACGAAGAACAAACCGATGCAAGATGAAGGTTGCAATGTCACGAGCACCAGCCGAAGGTAGCGCTGCGGTTTCAGCGTACCTTGTCAGTCAGATGCTCGGCAGCCACAATCACCCATCGATTACCACCAACAGAGCACGGTAGTGGGCCATATAGGTCAATCCCAACACGGTCAAATGAACATGCAGGACATGGTAAAGGCTGCAGTTGACCAGGTGAATGAGGAAATGTCTTGTGCTGCTGACACAGGGAACATGAGCGAATGTGTTTGCGGACAAACGTGTACATACCCCGCCAGTAGTAATGTTGGCGGATCCGCTCATACGTCTTTAGCGCGCACCGGCGTGTGCGTGTTGCGGTTCAGCAAGAAAATAGTCCCAAATATCAGACCGCATATGGCTGGGTATGACTAGCAGCCATTTACGACCCATCACTTCATAGTTGCGAGGGCATAACAGGCCATCCCGTATGGCGAAATGCGTTGCTTGGCGGCGAAGAGCATGCGGGTAACTGGAAGTTCATGCATCAGAAAGCATATTTAAGAGCGAGACAATCCAAGGGTCCTTCCGTTGTTCGGATGACATGTCTTTGACGTTGACGGCAGAGAGGGGAAAATCAAGGGCTGATATTTCCGTATCATCAGATTTCACGGGTGATCGTGAAAGCGCATCTGCATCAGAGTGCTTTCGCCCCGATCGGTAGACGTTGGTATGTCGAATTCCTGGAGGCGTAGTGCCCAACGTCCGAGGCGACCAGAAGGATCTTTCAGTGAAGCCATCCAAAAGAATGCGTGATGGTCAGTTATTACGTCAAAAGTTTGGCCGTACAAATAGGGGCAAAACTTGTTTAACCCCCACACAATCGCCAGGCAGTCTTTTTCCGTAACAGAATAGTTTGCTTCTGTCTTAGTGAGGGCGCGGCTGGCATAGGCGACCACATACTCTGTAAAACCTGGTTTGCATTGCGCGAGTACTGCACCAAGGTCGACGCCACTTGCAACCGTGTGTACTTCGGTCGGCGCAGTAGGGTCGTAATGACGCAGTACGGGTGGTGAGGTAAGTAGTTGGTGCAGTGTTGCGAAGGATTCTTCACAGGCTGCTGTCCTATTCGAAAGATCTACAGGGCTAGCAAGGAGTTTGGTGAGCGGAGCGATGATGGAAGAAAAGTTCTGGACAAACCGACAAAAATAGGAGCACAGGCCCACAAAGCTCCATAGTTCTTTAACTGTAGTCCGCTTAAGAAATTCGACAATAGCACGAAGCTTGTCAGGGTCGGGAAGGATGCCGGCTTTTGAGACAACATGACCAAGTATGGTGAGTTGTTTATCCCCGAAGTGACATTTCTTCAGGTTAAGCTGAAGCCTGACGTTTGTAAGGCACTGTATAGTTTTACGCAGACGAGTGAGATACGAAGTGAAATCAGGTGAAAAGACCACAACGCCATCAAGATAGCACAAGCATATGTTCCATTTGAGACCCCATAAAATGCCGTCCATCATTCGCTCGAATGTGGCCGGCACATTGCAGAGTCTGAATGGCATTGCGGTAAATTCATAGCGACCATCCGGTGTGACGAACGCCGTTTTTGGACGATCAGACTCTGCCATTGGGACCTGCCAATAACCTGAGCGAAGGTCAAGCGAGGAAAAGAATTGTGCACCATGGAGCCAATCGAGAGCGTCGTCTATGCGGGGAAGAGGATAAACATCTTTCTCGTAATGTTGTTTAGGCGCCTGTAGTCTACGCAGAACCGGATCGAACTATCCTTTTTTTTTTGACGAGTACAAGTGGTGAAGACCAAGGACTACAAGAAGGCTTGATGACTCCACACTGCAGCATGTCGTCTACTTGTGCTGCAATTACACGACGCTCTGTTGGGGACACACGATAAGGGCGCTGGCGCAAAGTAGTACTTTTCCCTGTGTCAATTGTGTGCACAACGGTGTTCGTTCTTCCTAGCACCGCTTGGGGAAAGTCAAACGAACGCCTGAATTTCTGCAACAGGGTAACAAGCTGCTCTCATTGAGCCGGGGCGAGATGGCTGTCAATAGAACGGTGAAATGCATCGCACGACACGCTGTTTGAGGCAAAGTGAGAAACCAACGCGTTCAGCTCTATATTCGGCTTGATGTCGAAGAAATCGGCAGGCACAATCGGCAGCCTTCATCGATAAGCTGAATGTGGCCGAGCGTCTCGTTGCGGCGCAAACTGAGGGGGCACGAGTTGGGATTGGAAATAAATATTCCGGTAGTATCTTGACAAAGCGCAAGAATGGCGAATGGCAGCGATGTGTGGTGGCGGCTACCAAAGATGTCAGATGGCGTGAATAGGACGGTAGCGTCAGAAAGTGAAGCGCAGCAGGCAGGGACAAACTCGGCGCTGAAATGAGGAAGGTCTATGTCCGTCGCGACGACAAAGTTAGCCACACTAGATACGGCCGCATCAACAAAAGGTGGCA